ACGAGATAAGTCCTAAGGAAATGAATTGTGAACAATTTAAAATTATTGAACTAAGAATTGGAAGAGAATTTGAGGATATATTTCGAAAAAACTTTGAGTTGAGAGATAAGGACAAGGAAATTGAAAGATAAATGGAAGAAATTCCTGAAGAATTGGAAGATAATTTTAAATAGAAGAGTAACATAGAAGATAATGATATAGAATCTGAATTATCTAGAGAGAATCTGATCCAAAATTTGGCATATCATGAAGTATCATATAAAGATTCATTTCTTATAAATTTTGAGGATGATATTAATATGCAAATTGAGAAAATTACTAGAAGAATATTGGATCTGGAAAGAAATATGAGGAACAATGATAAGAATCAATATGAAAAAGAAAAGTTGAATGAAAAATTTAAATTTGAGGACTTTGTAGGAATCCCTGGATCTGGAAAAATTTGGGCTATTGATCAAGGATTACTTAATTGGAATTTTGATCCAGGTGGAATCATTTGTCGGGCTAGCGACGTTAAATCAAGCGCTTTATGGGAGGCAACCCATAGTTATCTATGTAATTTGATTTAGTATGCTTATGAGTCATGATTGTTAGTGTTGTATTGTGTTTGCTTTTGTGTGGATTGATCTGTTTGCTTGATGTTTGGTAAATGTTTGGATTGTAAGTGGTTTGATTTACTTTTTGTGTGTCATGAGGGTGATGATTCCTTAAATTTTTATTATGGTTAGACTTGTATGTTCTCTTGTTGTAGTTTGATTGACGAGTCCACTACAACTCGGGTCTCACCCGAACTTGAGTTTTACAAAAGACATTATGAATTTTTACAACGATAGTTCTATCTCAATTTTGTTACTTCCTTTCTTTAACCTTGTTTTCATTTGATAGGAGTCGCGAACCTATTTGACGAGTAACTTGTAGATGATCTTACACTATCCTTATAATTGCTGGAGGTGCTTAATTATTGGGATATGGTGATGTCTGGTGTTGGTGCTCGAGAACTAATATATTAGGGATAATCTTATCTTTGGGCTTAGAATCTATAAAATCATTTATAAGCACCCAATACATTTGTGTTGGGATTCCATTAGAAATTGGAAGTAAGTTAGTGAGATGTGATGAGATGGAGGAAGAATTGACCTCATTTATCTTGTTTATGTGTTTGTGTTTGTGTTTGTGTTACAATTTATAAGACTTGAAGACCATTTTTATATTCAAATGCTGATCCATGCTATGCTAATTAGAAGTTTGTTTAGTTAATTTCATTTTAGCATGTTTAGTTTAGATTTACTTTATACTACATGTTTTCTATCCTAATAAATAATTGTAGATGAATTTGATAGAAATTTGTGGTAGATAGAATTTCTAAACTATTTTTCTTCCTACTTATATTTTCTGCACTAAATGTTATACATGGTAAAAATCAAGTTTGGGGGTAGGAAGACAAGTGAAATTTTACAATGAATATACTTCCTTTTAGTTTAATATTATTGCAAGCATGTTTTATGCTTAATTTACTTACTACTGTTGTCATTCCATCCTGGTTATGCATGCAAATAAATTCGATAGGATGTTGCAGTAGCTAGTAAATTCAATTACTTTTCCTTCCTGCTACATTTTATGGAATTAAATTGTAAAATATTTAAAAATTTAAGTTTGGGGGAGGAAAGAAAAAGATTAACTATTAGATGTTATCAATTTAAATATTTTATAAAATTATTAATATGATTTTATGTAGTGAATTTAATTCAGAGAACTATATTTTATAGATATTTAAATATTGTAGTTGATTTAAAGGAATATTTTTGTAATAAAAATTAATTTTGTAGATTAAGATATTTAGTATAAGAGAATAAGACTATAGTTAACTATTTAAAGTAAAGGAAACTATATTTTGAAGTATTAAGAATCTTGGAAATTCATTTGAGAAGAAAAGATTGGGGCTCAATGATGTAAAAGCT